CCCGCATTCAGCCGCCCGGGACAATATCTTTTCTCTCGCCCCGGCATCGCCGGGGCGTCCCGGCTCCCTTTTCCCCCTCTCGGATTTCTGTTCCTCTCTTAATTTACCATGAAGGCTAATTCCATTTCCATTCACGATATGTCAACCATCTCATCTCCCCATTTTGTAAGAGGAATTCCTGGGCCCTTTTAAACAAGCCCTCGCGCCATTCAGGCACAATGTAGCGCTACAGCATTCCTAAAGGACTAATGAATTTAGAATTAGCAATTTCTTTCTAGTTGAGTTTAATGAATGCAGATCACTTTAACAGCATGACAAATTGCTGGATGGGCCGAAATAGACACCATTTAACCTCCTTTCCCAGCCCCGCTCCCTCGCCCAGCTCGGGATGCTTTTCCCAGGTACCTCCTCAATGCCCCGGGGGAACCTTGTACCGCTTTGTGGGAGCCCGGTTGGGCGTTTAAAAGGCTCAGCCCCGGGGTCTGGGCTGGGGCCGGGGATCGGGAGGGGTCTCCGCCGCCCCCGATCTTCCCCCCCGGTCCTTTTCTGAGCCCTCTCCCCCCTCACAGAGGTGCAGAAGCTCTCCAGCCTGGTGCTGCCGTCGGAAGTGATCATCGCCCAGAGCTCCATCCCCGGGGAAGGGCTCGGCATCTTCTCCAAGACCTGGATCAAGGCTGGCACCGAGATGGGGCCGTTCACGGGCAGAGTCATCTCCCCTGAGCATGTGGACCTGTGCAAGAACAACAACCTCATGTGGGAGGTAACGACCGCCCTTGTACGCGCAGCCCGGACCGGCCGGGGAGAGGCAGGGCCGGGGTGCTGGGGCTCTGTCCTGTGCTTGTGTGGCGCCTGACACCCTCCCCGTGCCTTAGTTTCCTCATTCTTGCAAAGATCTGGGCAGGTGGATTTAGGAAACCCTTCAGGCAGGAGAAGGATGAGGTTTCCTCAGCCCTCAGAGGAGCCCCAAAATGCTGCTGCTGCTCATGTCTTGCTGCCCTGCCCTGTTGTGGTGGAACACCCGACTGGCTGCTGCCCACAGTGGGCACCACAGGCAAAAACAGGTCTGCCCTGTCCCCTGCTTTGTCCCAGACCTGGTGAGGTTAATCCCAAGTGAAGCCATGGGGTTTGGGGGATCTGAAATGCCAAGATATTGTACATTTATGCCCAGTAAGTAGACAGGGTTTTCCTCCTTTTTTTGGTTTCACTCAGACTTGCACTTAATTATTGCTATTATTATTACAGTTTTATGCTTAATAGAAACTTGCCTTACCTTTCTTGCCATCCTGCAAAGTACCTCTCCACGTCTGGCAGGCACCTTCCCCCTCCACCCAGGGATGCTCTCACTCCTACGGGCACCTGCAGGATGCTGGAACAGCTCCTTCCTCTGTGGCTGAGCTGCTGGTGGGGCTCTGCCAAGAAGGGGGATTGGGGCAGAGAGCTGGGTTACCCAGGGGCATAGGGTCTGGTGGGCCCAGCCATGCCAGAGCAGAGCAGCCTTCTCAGCCCCACTGCAGATGCACAGCCCTGGACCGTGAGCAGAAAGGGTTCGGACATCTCCTGGCTGTTGGCTGGGTCTCAAAGCCAGCACAGCCCTGGGGCTGAGCTTGTCCCTGTCCAGGGGCTTTATCCCAATGGCAGGAGGTGGAGGGGCTCAGTCCAGTGTGGGCTCATCGCTACCAACTGCTCTCTCCCCTTCCCAGGTCTTCAACGAGGACGGCACCGTGCGCTACTTCATCGACGCCAGCCAGGAGGATCATCGCAGCTGGATGACCTACATCAAGTGTGCACGGAACGAGCAGGAGCAGAACCTGGAGGTGGTCCAGATTGGGAACAGCATCTTCTACAAGGCCATTGAGGTAAGTGGGGCTGAAGGGTGACTGGGCAGCTGCAGGAGTGGAGGCAGGGTGGTGGGATCTGCCACCCCACAGTCCCTCCCTCACTTGTTTTTTGGGCTGTTGTTGGGGTGTCTGTGGAAGCACAGGGCAGCTTTGCCATTCCTAGTATCCAGATCCATGGGGAGAGGTAGGCACCACAGGGAGTGGCCATTACATGGACTTCAGGGAGGAGTAAAGTTCCCTTCTCCTCTCTGCCCCCTTTCAAGAGGTGACCTGTGCTGAGCAGAGAGAGAACAAACACTGTCTGAGCTTGTCTGGGGTGTAAAGTGTGAGAAGAGCTGCAATCTTGGCCCAGGCAGGGATTTGGGCAGGGATGGGGGGTTGGTGCTCTATTGAAAAAATAGGATTTTGTGCAGAACCTGCTTCTCTGTAGCAAGGGTATGTTTTGAGGGTTTCTGTGAAACCCAGGTGCTGAGTGCAGGATGTGCCTGACTCTGCACAGCTTTGCTTGGGTGTCACACTCTGGCTGTACATGGAGCAGGGAGCCATGGAGCAGGCAGGGAGCAGTGCTGGCACAGCCATGCCTTGGGCTTTCCTCAGTGGGGCTGTGGAGAAGGGATTCGTCCTGCCTGTCTCCTCCCTGTGCTCCTGTATGAAGTGCTGGTCAGTGCTGGCCTGGCACAGGAGCAGGTACTGGGTCCCAGGGATGGCACAGGCTGCGGGATGAAGGCTGGAGGGTGGCACCTACAGCTCCCTGCAGGAGACACTGGGATGGTGGTGGGTGTCTGGCTCCTGGCATTATTGATGCCATGTGCATACATGTCCCACAGTTCCAGCAGGATGACAGTGAGGACCAGCCCTGCTTGTGTGCAGTGTCCCCATAACCTGATGCTGTTGCAGGTGGAGAAAGGTGGTGGCTCAGGGAGGTGTCGGGTGCAGCAGCTTTGGCTTAAAGAGTCACAAGAGAGAAATCTCCCAGTTCACCCCAGACCAGAACTGTAGATTGTCCCTATCTAGTACTGGGTCCAGAGTCTCACCTGCTCAGGAGCACTCTTGGTTGGGAGAGGGTCTCTGCCAGGAAGGAGTGCGAGTGCCTGATGGTTCCTCGGGCAGCTCCTCCGATATATTTGAGCTTCTGCACTGGTTTACAGAGGAGCATACACTCAAATGCTCCATGGCACAGGACCACAGCCCCATTCTGCACTGAGCCAGCAGCAGGGCTGGGTTAGGGATTGCTGCAGTGCTGTGGAAAGGCGAGTGGGTGGGTAGGAAGAGGAGCAGATATATTATCTCCCACTGCGGGAGAGTCCCGCGTGCCCCTCGGGCTCTGCTGCATTTCCCCGTGCAGTGCTGTGACCAAGAGCCCCAAGTGCTTCCCTGCTGCTCTCCCCATGCTGGACATCTCTCCCAAGGCTTCATCTTTTCCCAGTTTTAAGATCTGATACTCCTGTGGGCAGCTGTGCCTGTTGTGACAGCACCTTAATTGCTTTTTATTACTGTTCTTAATTATGCAAATGAGTGAAATAATTCCAGGTAGCCGTGGTGTAATTAGGAATACAGCTGTGGTTTTCACACCTTGTGCAGGCATGAGTGATGGGATGGGTGATCCAATATTTGTGGAGGTGCATGTAGAGGCCCTGTATAGTCATGGTCCATCTGCAGGTTTGCTCCTGGGGCTGAAGCAGTGAGCACTCGAGCAGGATGAGTTTAATTCCATTGGCACAAGCAGCAAAATTGGAATGCTGAGAGTGCTGAACCCTGAGTGATGGAGAGGAGAAGGTGGGGATGAAGGGTGCCTGCTGTTATGCTGCAGTATGCTCCCCAGGCATGGCAGGTACCTGATAGTGCTCCTGCTGCCACTGTGTTGGCATAGATGCCTCCGTGCCAGGAGAAGGAAAAGGGGATGGGTGAGAGTGTGATGAGGGAAAGCATGGAATGTGTGAGGAGCTGGGTCACAACTGGTCAAGGAATTGCCTTTTTCCTGGGCTCCCCATTCCTGCCCATGCACACATACACACGCAGTCCAAAATCCATCGCTCGTTCAAACCTACTGGAGTTTGTGCACCCAACAAGAAAAGGAAAAGTAAGAGAGGGTTTTCCTTTAGTGTTTCTCTCTCTGCTCGTTAATCACATGGAGTCTTTGGCATCCTTGGACTGGAGCAATCCCCCTTGTCACCCACCACACCTGTCCTGTCATCTCCCTCACCTCAAGGGTGCAGCATCAGCCTGACACCAGCGGGAACAGCTCAGTGCTGGGCAGGATATGCACACACTGACCCAAACTTAGAGCTGCCCTGCTCAGCAGGACATGTGTCTGTGCATGGGCACTGTCACACTCCTCCTGTCCCCCTGCACAGCCTCCTGTCCGTGCCCACAGTGTCCCTTCCCCAGCAGGCACCGGGAGCTGCCCAGTCCCTGCCTCTCTGCCTCTGCTGCACCGTGGCTCCAGCACATCTCTTAGGATGCCTTTCTCAACTATGCACCACAAAATCAGATTTATTTCGTGCCTTTTCTGCTATTTGCCTTTAGTATTTTAATGTCTTCTGCCCGTTCCTGCCCTTACTTGCTAATTACTTTTTCCCATCCTCATTCTCAGCAACATGAAGTTGCTGCTGCTGGAAAATGAAGTGAGGGCAGCGAGTTCTGGCCTTTGATCTGAAGGCCATGGGATTCCTCGGGGACAATTTAAATTTGCTTTGGGGTGTGTGGACATGGGTGCTCACCCACTGCTGGTGTGGGCACAGCTGCTTCAGTAGAATAAAACACACATATGCACCCATGCAGACTTGTTTTATCCTTTCAGCAATATTTTATTTGCTTGTATTAAAAATAACTCATTTTCTGTTAAGAGAAAATGACACCAAAACCCAGCACCAATTTGGGATGCAAAGGGATACCGGCTTCCACTACCTTCCAAATTCCTTCTCTGCAGCCCCAATAAGGTCTTTATGCAGATGGGCACTTAAAACATATCAAGTCAAATTCCTGCTGCTTTCAGATGCTTAAAATTTGGCACATTTTTCAGTGTTTGGGTGATCTAACTTACGATCTGTGTTTCATGTGGATGATGCTTTTCTTGGACTACTCCGGGTGTGCAAAACCATCCTCCTAAAGACAGGACTGTCCTGTTCCTAAATTTGGTTCTCAGTGCTAGGGATCTGCAAGGGGAAATGTGTATATTTTTTTTAATGAAGTGGTGTTGATATTAGTTTTGTCTGAACCCTTGTGAGAGCGTCCACCTTCCCAGCCACAGCTGCTGCACACGGGGAGCCTCGAGTGGCGTTTCCCGGCCACTCACCCTGGCAGTGCAGGAACATAGTGGGGGAAGCAGTGCCATCATTTCAGGAAAATGGGAGCATGTGTGATGCAAAACCCCCTCCCTGGCCCTGTACATATCCTTGGGCTATTGCAGGCACAGTGCCTTTGGTGTGGGACATAAGCAGCATCTCACACCCGAGTCATGGTCTCTTAGAGCAGCTCCGAGCTCTCCTCTCATCCATGGGCTGATGGGTCCTTTGCTGATGGATCTGCAAAATCAGCCCTGGCAGGGTCAGGTAGGAGATGCTGCCTGTGCCCTACAGCAGGAGGGTGGTAGTGGCTCTGTCCAGGGCTGAAACATTTTGCTGGAGCCCTGGGCTGTGGCTCCGTGTCACAGCTCCCTGCCTTGGTCTCTGTCACCTGCGCCTCGTTGCAGTTTGTGTCTCCACAAATGGGTTATTTCTCTGTGTGCCTCCCTGTCCTCATCTCCCCAAGCTGCCTGGACCTCCAGGTCCTGCAGCCCTATCTGTGTGCTCTGTTGCTGTGTATTTTCCTGTCACTTTGTTTGTGTCTCAGCCTGGGAGACCCCTGGCCAGGTTTGTGCCGGCGGTGGGTGGTGCTGAGCTGTGCCATCGCCGGCAGTGCTGTGCCTGCCTGGGGGTGCTGGGGACCACTGGCAGGTCCCAGATGGCAGCAGGGGCTCCCAGGAGATGGAGTACAGCCAGGGTAGGTCCGAAGGGACCAGCACAAGAATGGGTGTTCATGTCCCCTCCAAACATCCCTGTCTGTATCTTTCTTTCTAGATGATTCCTCCAGACCAAGAGCTGCTGGTCTGGTATGGGAACTCCCATAACACCTTCCTGGGTATTCCTGGTGTGCCAGGGCTGGAAGAGGAGCAGAAGAAGAACAAACATGGTAGGTAGCATTGGAAAGAGCAGCAGATGCACCATCTCTGCCTGATCACCCTGTGCCCAGCTCCGAGGCCACGGGGTGGGTGTGACGCCAGGGACATCTTATGGAATATATTAGACATCCTAGCTCTGCTTTTAACGACCCCACTCTGCATTTAATGGATCTATCCCCAAATCACCGTCTCAGGAGGCTTTTCTCTCCCTGGGTGTTCACTCTGTGTTTCTCGGTGGTTTCTCAAGGTGCTCCTCTGCGGGCACAGCAGAGCTCAGGCACTGCTGGAGGACGCTGTGTTCAGAGCTGGATCCCATCCATGCTCTCTGACTGTATTTTCCACTATGAGAGAACCGGGTCAGAGCCCAGAAGAGCAGAGGGAGAAGGTGGGACCACTGCAGGGGCTGGACAGCATGGCTGTGGGTTCCTGCCCTCACCCCCTCCAGCTCTGCTGCAGGCCATGGAGGGGAAAAGTGCTTTTTGTGCCCATCTGTTAGGGATTCATTCAGTTCACCTTGAATGTTCCCCCTCCTCTAAATCTGTGTGAGTCTATTCCTAGTGCTGGCCCCATCCCAAAGCCCCAAGTGCCAGCCTGGGATGGGTGCCCCACAAGCAGGGAGCCAGCGAGGGGGCACGGGGGATTATCCAGGGCATCCAGCACCTCGGTGCTCGGGGATGGGGTGTGCTGCCGTGCTGCAGGGCAGTGCCTGACCGTGCCCTGTCATCCCCAGAGGATTTCCACGCGGTGGAGACGGGGGCCAGCACGACGGGGCGCATGCGCTGCGTGATCTGCCACCGCGGCTTCAACTCCCGCAGCAACCTGCGCTCCCACATGCGCATCCACACCCTGGACAAGCCCTTCGTGTGCCGCTTCTGCAACCGCCGCTTCAGCCAGTCCTCCACCCTGCGCAACCACGTCCGCCTGCACACGGGAGAGCGGCCCTACAAGTGCCAGGTGTGCCAAAGTGCCTACTCCCAGCTCGCGGGGCTGCGGGCGCACCAGAAGAGCGCCCGGCACCGGCCCCCCAACGCCTCCCTGCAGGCCCACTCGCCGGCCCTGCCCGTGCCCCACCCTGCCTCCCTGGCCCACCACATCCCCACCATGGTGCTGTGAAGCCCCTTGGCGTGGCAGCGGGATTTTTGGACAGCAAGGACTGATGCTGAGACATGCAATGGACTGGGGAGGGGTGGCCCTTGGCAGAGCTGGGGGGGCAGCAGGCTGCTTTGTGTCTTGGAGGGTGCTGGGTTGTTTTTGGGCATGGCGTTTGGCAGGTGAGTAGTGGGAACACCAGCTGTGCAGCTGCACCGTGTGGGATCGTACCCGGGTGTAGGGCAGGCTGCTGCGTCCATAGGGCTTGGCAGGGGAGAAGGGACACTGCAGGATGTCCTGCAGGGATTTGCCAGTGGGCTGGAGCAGCTGAAAAGCGGGGCCTGAATGAGTCACACCTGGCTTTTACAGATAATTTGGAGGAAAGAAAAATTGCTCTTATCCCTCCTCCTTCTCTGCTCCAGTGAGTGCCCAGCAGACACTTGGAAGGCTGGCACAGCCCCGATGCGGCCACCCCGGTCACGACTCTTTGTCCCAGGGGTGGCTTTGGTCCTGCTGGCTCCTTCCAAGGGACACCTTTCCCTCCTCGGGAGCCCTGAGTTAGCAAACAGTTGTATTTTCCCCCACCCAAGCACCCTCTTGCCTGCCCTGCTCCAGCCTGAGCTGTGCACTGGGCTTTGCCACCACTCCGAGTGATGCCGAGTAGGCAGAGGGGACACATTCCGTGGGGACACCGTGCCAGCTGGGAATGCCCATCCACAGGCAGGTTTTGAGGGGACCCTGAGCTCTGCCGGGCTGTGTTTGTTCCAGCCCTTGGAGCAACTCTTCCCCAGCCGTGAGGGAACATTTCAGCTGGAACTGCTGCCCTCTGGGGACAGAGAAAACCCGTCCCCGGGCCAGCTCTGTCCCCAAGGACAACTCTAAGCGCCCTCTGGAGTCCCACACTCCTGAAGGAGGGCTGTGTATCATAAAGCTTAAAAGAAGGTATTCTAATATTAATTATAAGTCTAAGTTGTATAAAGTTCTCACAAGCCGTGTTTTACTTCCAGAAAAAGAAAACAAAAAAACGAACAACTGTCACTTTAACTTTGTAAATATTTATGTAAACATTATTTACAAAACTTTGATATTATATATTATTTGATTGTATATGTACACAGTGTAAATACATTTGTACCTCTCTCTTGTATTCTAAATAAAAATTACTTGGGACATTTATCATTTAGAAGAGGGATAGCATGGAGAGCTTTATTTTGTTACGTGCCAGGGGAAGGACATGGTGGCTGGGATGAGTGAAGGTCTTAACTAACACAGTAATCAGTGGCATTATCTGTTGGATCAAGGAGTGGAGGTGGGAGGAGGAAAAAACAGTTTTTGGCTAAAGAAGCCCTTTTTCAGGTCTGGAAGAAGCGGTGAGTGCTGGAGGGGGTGGTGTTTGGTCTGGTTCCACCCTGCCAGTCCTTATTTGAACAGTCCCTTGTGCACTTGTGCAGTCCCTATTTGAAGCCACAGCTGTTGATATCCTTTGATACCTCCCAAGAATTAATGCCTGTGTTTCAGCTGCGATGGGACACAGGTGCAGGTCTTGCTGGAAGGTTTGTTTTGGATCCTGAAAAGGCAGCTAATTTGCTGACGGTCATCGCTGAGCTGCTTTTCCCTGGGTATTTCCTCAGCCGCTCCAATAGCCGGACTGGTGCTTTGAATTAAACGGATTAAACTTTTCCGCAGACGTATCAGTTCCCGCTGGCACAGCTCTGCCAAGGGAAGGGGGCAATCCCGAGCTCCTCGGGGGTGTTTAAGCCAAGTTTGAGCCAGCTCGGGAGAGGATTAGGGGGGTGTCTTCAGATAAACACGGAGGACGCTCCGTGAGCACGGGCACCCCAAAACTGGAGGGAAGGGGGGGGCTGCTCCCTCCGGGCCGAGCGCACCCTTGGCTGCAGCCCAAGCCGGGGTGCTGGGGCCCAGTGAGCCCCGCGGGAGGGTCTGTGGGGCCCTGGAGCCCCCCGGCTTGCCTGGCAGGTTTTTGGGGCGCCGGTCACTGCCAGGGGGTGAGCCACCCTGCCCTCACTAAACATGGCCGCGCCCCCCCCTTGCGTTCCAACGGGTGAGCCCTCAGGTCCTTTGCTGCCAGTAACAAATATGGATGCCTTAGAGACCTCCCCCGCCGCCCTCACTAAGATGGCGGCGCCCGCGCCTCAGGCGTGTTCTCGCCCGCAGCCAACATGGCGGGCGGAAGCCGCGCTGTGGCCTGGGATTAAACCCGCGCCCAAGATGTGGCCGCGGTCACCATGAGGCGTGCACGCAGGGTCCGCGGGCCCCTGGGGGGCGAGGCGCGCCCCGCGGCGCCGAGAAGCACCTGGTGGCACCGGGGGAACCATCACACCGACACGGGATAATGAGGTGCGGGCAGCGGCGCAGGGAGGCGGCGGCGGCCGGCTCGGCTTCGGGGGGCAAAGGTTTCCTTTTTCCCAGCGTAAAGGGGTGGCCGGGCCCCACTTCTCTCCGCAGGGGCCACGGCACGTATGTGGAGGACGACAAGCTCATCGCCTCGGTGGCCGGCGTGGTGGAGAGGGTGAACAAGCTGGTGTGTGTGAGGGCGCTGAAGGCCAGGTGAGGTGGCCGTGGCAGGTGAGGGCCGGTGGCTGGGCCTCGCTCGGGTGAGGTGTGTGACGGCCGCTCCCTGTCCCGCTCCCAGGTACAACGGCGAGGTCGGCGACATCGTGGTCGGCAGGATTACGGAGGTAAAGCCCCGTTTTTCCTGCGGTGCTGATGTCAGGGTTTGGAGATGTGCTCGTGTGCTGAGGAGAAGGAGGAGGGTGGCCCCTGACCGGAGTGGTTCAATCCAACCTGGAGCACTTCGCAGGATCCTGAAACACTGATACACTTTAGTGTCCTCGCACGGGGCACTGGGAGCCACCGGTTTTAACCGTGATGAGGCTGGAAAAACCAGCAGGGCTGTCCCCTCCTGTGGGCTTGGTGGGCTGCAGCTCCTGTTCAATTTTTGGGTGTATAGCAGCAGGCTATTTTTTTTTCCCCTCAGGTTCAGCAGAAGCGATGGAAAGTGGAAACGAATTCCAGGCTGGATTCAGTCCTGTTGCTGTCGTCTATAAACTTACCTGGTGGGGAACTGGTGAGTGTAGCTGAGGCAGAGCAGTGCCAGAGGCCTGTTGTGTGCTGCTTCCATGGCAGGAGCACTGGGAAGCTTGGAGCCCTTCCCACAGTTAGCATGAGCATAATGGTGGGGTTTGTGGTTGAATCTGTAGCTCTGAATCTCTAACTCTTCTTGTTATAATACTTCAGTGACATAAAGGTGTGCTGTTCTGCCTGATTTTCCTTTGGTGACCAGGGTGTTTTACATGGCATGCTACGGTCTCCTACAGTGAGATATTAAATGGGTGTTTTCTCGTTCTGGGCCACAAGTAACTTTTCTTGTGTTGTTTCAGAGAAGAAGGTCAGCAGAAGATGAGCTTGCCATGAGGGATTACCTGCAGGAAGGGGACCTCATCAGTGTATCCTTCTGCTGCTCCCATTGACAGATGAGCCAAGAGGATGGGGAGAACAGCCAGAGCTCAGCTGGCCTGGCTGGGGGTGAGAGCTGTGCTAGGGTGGCACTGGGCAACCTTAGAGACTTTGTTTTCCTTAAGTGGCACCGACAGGCAGAGGTCCAGTCTATATTTTCTGATGGGGCTGTATCACTGCACACCCGGAGCCTGAAATACGGGAAGGTAAGTTGTTCCAAAGCTGACTTGTATGAGGCCTTTTGGAGTCTTTTTTTCAAGAAAAGAGCTCTGGAATAGAGCAGGATGTTGTTATAACTGACTCCTGCAGGACAGCAAGAATCTCAGTATGTGGGAGCACCAAGTGGAGTTTTCCCAAAGCAGAGGAGGTGTCCTTGAGTTGCCCTTTGAGCCACTGCACTCCCTGTCCACAATTCCAGCTTGCCAGTCCTCTTTCCCCCACTAGCCATTGGAAATCAAATCCTGGGGAGAAATCTCGCTCCTCTTCTGCAGGCTGTTGCCCCTGTAACTTGTTTCTCTCCCCAGGGCTCTATTTTAGGCTTTACACAGTTGGCATTTATCTCTGGTTCTGTGCATTGAAAGAAGCCAAGGGGCCATCCGAGCGTAGGCTGCAGTTTGGGATTACCAGACCAAGGGTATTAGCACTTAAAAGATGAAAGGGAAGTGTGGTTATTGCACAAAGGGTGAAGGACAGTGATTGGATTAAGAGGGAAAGTGTTCTGCTAAATTGGGCCTCTCACTCCTCGTTTTTCTGCAGGGATGGTTGATGTGTAGTTGTGATCAAGATATTATTAACATTTGTGCTAAGCACTTAGAGTATTCTTCATCTTCAAAGGGCTGCACAGGCATTAGCTAATCCCTCCAGCGCTCCCAGAGGCAGGCAGGTTTTACATTCACTGTTTCACAGGAAAAGGTGTTAAAATGGAGTGGTGCCTAGGCCAGGAATGGAGTGAGTGGGGGTGACTTGATGTTGTCTGTGGTGGCTCGTGTCTCTCACGCTGAGTCTCATCTCCACTCCAGCTTGCCCAGGGTGTGCTGGTTCAGGTCTCTCCCTCCCTCGTGAAACGCCAGAAGACTCACTTCCATGACCTGCCCTGTGGTGCTTCCGTGATCCTTGGCAACAACGGCTTCATCTGGATCTACCCAACCCCGGAGCAGAAGGAGGAAGAGGCCGGGGGCTTCACCACCAACTTGGAGGTGAGGCCTCAGGGAAGATGAACCTTCTCCTACCAATGGTTTTTATTCAGGATTTGGTATTAGGTTCACAGCAAGGCTTTTTTACAGTCAGCCTGCATTATTATTCCCCTGTGCATTCATCCCTTTTCCTCTGATCTTCCTCAGCCGGTTCCCTTGTCTGACCGGGAGGTGATCTCACGGCTCCGAAACTGCATCGTGGCTCTGGTTACTCACAAGATGATGCTCTTTGACACCAGCATCCTGTATTGCTATGAAGCATCCCTTCCTCATCAGGTACAGAAACCAGAGGGGTTTGTTCCACAGTGGGGGAGGGAACAGAAAGGCTGCACCAGTTGCTGCTGAAGTCAGTAATTTAGGTGGTGGGGCTTCCTTTTAGCTTTCCAAAGCAT